TGTGTCAACCAAGCAACTGGAATCTTCAGTGCTCTAACTAGGCCGATCAAACAGGGACTTCCTCAAACTACTTGATGTAGGAACCTTCCATTCCTCATATCTGACTCAAGCAAGCTTGTGACAAAGGAAGACATCTCATATTCGACACCGGAAGATAGCGCAAGGCAAGAGCACGTCGGCCCTGCCCTCTCAAATAGGAATTTTTTTTAATTAGAAACAGAATTTCTGGAGCAATCAATACTATTCAAAACCCTTTATGGAGCCAAACATGAATTTATCACAAAGTTTAAATTTCATACACCTCTTAATCATGTCAATAGAAAACTTGTAACTAACATACTTAGTTGCTAGTTTTCTATGAAAAACATCAAACAATCAAAGCAAATATTGAAAATTATATGAGAAGTGATAAAATGCTCAAAAATTAATGTCCTAAGAGATACTAACAATGACCTATAGCTAAAGTCTAGAAAATGAAATGCTAAAGCAAATGTAAGAAATTAACCACACAATTATGATATATCTATTAGGGTTGTAAATGAACTAAGCTTTCAACGAGCTGCTTGTGGATCGGCTCTATAAGAGCTTGTTCATATTCGTTTGATAAGCTAAACGAACGAGCTTGAACACTTTGATAAATACTAGATAGCTAAATAAATGAGCTTGAATAGCTTGTCTTTTAGTTTGTTATGTTCACGAGCAGTATCATTTAAAGCTCGTGAACAAGCTCGTTAAGAAGCTCGATTAAGGCTCGTGTTCGGCTAGAAATAACTTGAAATAATACATAGTTTTAAAAATAGAAATTGTTAAATTAATTTAAAATTTTAATAATTTATTTATAAATAAATAATACCAATGATATTATTATTAATAGTAGTAAAAGATATAGTTAATTCACTCTTTAATAGCACTTAAATTTTGAAATATGAGAATAGGATGGAAACATATAAATATGGCTTTTTTTGTTGAAAATAATCAAAATATTCTTCTTTTCCCATTTTTGGATGGCTCGCCTCTCTCTTCCGTGGCATGCATCAGTAAAACAAAAAAAAATGTTAGGTGAGAAGTTTAGTCTCACACCATTTTTGAGACACTTGATTTTGCTATATAAAAATAAAAATATGTATAGAATGTTTATTAACTTCTGCGTGCAACGGAAAGTAGGAAGACAGGTTGCCTAGTTCGCGTGTGGGTTTTCGGCAAGCTCCTTGATTAAGGCATTTTATTTTGTTAAAGGAGTGGCCTGTTAATAGGCTCAACAAGTGACTTGTTAATAGGCTCAACAAGATGAATCGAGCTCGAACATAAACACGAGCTGAGCTTGAATAGGGGTTTTCTAAATGAGCTCGAGCACAAATAGAGACCAGAAAAGCTCGAATCTTATCGAGTTGAGCTCGAACAGAGTCTTGGAAACGAGCTCGAGCTCGAACATGTCGAAGCTCGATTTGGCTCGGCTCGTTAACAGCCCTAATGTCTGTGTAGAAAAACAACCTCCTTAAAAAAAATCAATTCAAATAGCTTCAAAAATAATTATTAAATATGCATCTTCGAGATTGATCAGATTGATAGAGTTTTATATTTTATATTTCTTTTGAGGTATTTACTTGCATCACTTAGCTCTCATCATGAGGTATGATATATAAATTTGTATGCCACTAAAGCACAAAGCCAAAAATAAAGCCAATATTTAAAAAAAAAACAATATTTGTCTAACGTCCATCATAGGAAAAATATCAACTAATTCATCAAAATTTGTACTTCAAAATTATTCATTGGACTCATCAATTAAAAGAAATATGATTAGTCCATCATCACATTTAGGCATAAGTTCTATTTCGATTAGAAATTCAGGTTTCAATAAGATCCCATGAGTACATTGCATTTAAATGCCGATTCAATCACCATATATTCAAGTTCATAAACGTGACCAATTGAGGATGTGGATTCAAATTCAACAATATTAGACATAGATTCATATTGTGTTTGCAGATTCTATCATGCATATAATACATCCTCAAATAAACATACATGAACAATAACATCTTCAATAAATCAAATTCAAATAAACATGATTCTTATATTGGTACTTTCAGTGGGACTTCAAATTGGAAGGTACCAAGATTTCCTTAAGAATTGGTATAAGGGTGCAACATCCCTAATGAAAAGCTTGTAATATGCCTCAATATTGGAAGATCCTATATCAAGCCTCAGATAGTATTTTAAGTGCATTCTAGCCAATGCTCATTTGTAAACTCTTCTATAAGATCTATAATGAAGCACATAATAGTAACAAAATAGTCTAAAGGTAGCTAAATGTAGCTGCAGCATTAAAACATTTATAATATTCAAATACACTAGAATCCTATTGTTTACAACTCTAAAATAACTATAAAATTGATCATGCAATTTACCATGATATTCACCATATAGTAAATATTTTTTTAAGCTTATGTTTGATACTAGCCAATGTTGATTTTCTACTTGAAATATTTTGCCAAAACAATAGATCATGTCCAACTAATTTTATTTCAACAATCTTAATTTTTAACAATCATGTAAATAATAATGTTCAAAGAACTCATCTAAACTAATGATCCATCCTAATATTTTTCAAAATCATACTCCCTACCCCTAATCGAATGTATGAATGTAATTTTTAAATCTCGTAGTAGTGCATTACTATTCAAGTATTTACCCTATCATTTTTAAATTAAACCGGTTATTACTTTTTTTTATTGAGTCAAATAAATAGTCCTACATTAAGTAGAAATGATGATACAGCTTGACTAGGTCAGCAATTTAATGCAAGATAACTCAATATTATTGTAACTAATATGATGCATAATATGATTCATGCAAATAAAAAATTAATGACTTACATATCACGATTCAACAATTAATCCAATAAGTTACTTTATTTAGATGTAGACAAAAAATACTAAAATTATAACTAACCAATAATTTAAATGACCAAAATAATCCAAGAAATTCAGAAATCAATTTAAAACATATAAAATCAATGAGCAAATTGAATTTAATCTCCACAAATTAGAATTTTTATCACAATTGAAAGCACTAAACAAGTCAAAATCAAATTATGAAAAAAAAAGAATGACACAAAGTACTAAATATTTAGATCTGATATTTTACAAAGAGATAACGTTTCCTGAAATTAAATATTTACACTAATATCACACTTGAAAGTATCATCATTCGAACATATACTCACAAAATTGAGATTAGGGAAAAAATGTTATTAAAAGCATTTGTTTAATTATATGCCTAAAAATTACTAACAAGAAAATTGTCAAAATGGTCCTGGACTTTATGGGAGTCATTTTAGTGATAGACTAATTTAAGATGTCCAACTTATTCTCCTAACTCCTCATATGGTCCAAATAATCTCATAATTAAAATCAATATTTAATTTGATAACAATTTCACATAAAGTTCACGAATGAGAAAGGAAATATTTTACAAAAATCAAAATGTACAAAAAAATTAATTTTTAAAAATAACTTAACTCTTCGCATTATGTGAGCTTTGCAAGAAAAAATCCATCACATTAAACAACTATTCTACCTGTGAGACTATTTGTACAACATATTTGAGAAGTCAAGAGAATAAGTTAGCAAAATATTCAACTTAATTAAATTAAAATACCCAATCAAATAATCAATGCAGAATTTTTTTAATTTCAAATCCAAGTTTATCCCATTAGACACCAATTTAAAATCGCAACACAGCCTTCCACACAAAGAAACCAAATCACATATACAAACAAAAATCCAAAGGTTACCACAAGGAATCATCTTTGTATAACAAAGAGCACAGCAATGAAACAAGCCCCAAATCCCAATGGGCAAACACGACTCACACCTGATCAAACATCCTATTCACGTGAATTAGCAATGCCTGTTACTTCAAAACAATCAATCTAAGCTCCACTGCCTACAAGAAAATTGCAGCCAACGCTCATCCAAATTCTTCATTTAAACTTTCACATATGTTCCCAGAGTACACTGCCCAACAACTTCCAAAGGATAACTGCCCAACCAAGGAGGAATAATTCCAAACGACATAACTCCGAATTGATAAAGCCAACAATCATCACACAAGGATCTCATCTATTGGTAAAACAAAGGTAGAAATTTTGTGATTCTTACTAGAATTCAAATGTGTTGAATGAAAACTTGAAATTTTATGCCAGATTTTATAAGATTTCGTGAAGTCAATTCAAGTCTTTTGGGGTTATAAATACAACACTTGAAGAAAATGTGTTCTCTCAATTCTTGAATGTACTATTAAATGAAAATTCTTTGAGCATTTTGCAAGTTGTGAGAATAATTTCTAGGAAATAATTCTATTTCTGAATGACGTGAGACCATGATCTTCCACTTAGTAATTTCTAGTCATGTTCTCTCTCTAAACTATTTAGTGATTGGTTTGCGTGCATAATTGTGGTTTATTCAACTTTAATACAGTTGATTTTTTTTTTGGTGTGAATCCTAATCACTACAAATTTTATATTTGTATTTCAATTTCTAGTAGAATTTTATATTTCAATAAATTTCATATTGTCCTTTTGAATGTCAAGTATTTTTTTCTAATTTTGCATCAAAAGAGAAACTCTTGCTTAAGTTAAAAGTTGAAAAACTGTCAATTGTGGACATTCGTGTTTTGCTTCTCATCCTAGATTAATATTAATGAAGACCCTAAGACATCCTACAACAGCAATTAAAACGCTACTGAATTCCTAAATCACCATAATTATAAAGCATGCATGGGAGTTACAAAAACATAATCATTATCATCACTCGATAAGAACATGGATATTACTTTTGCAAAGACCTTTTATACATTGTAAATGGAGAAATCCAAATGAAAGAATGATAACACATCCAAAGATTTTCAAAATATATTATCTACAAGCATTTTATCTAAACAATACTCAGCACTGCAGTAAGATACTAGTCAAACACAAATTTTAGAAGGTGAACCTGGTGATTGATAATATTTGCAGCCAGCCTTTGAACCTCACGTTCCTCTTGGTCTGCAAAAAGTTTTGCCTTGATTGCAGCAGCAGAAAGGCCACACTTTGCGGCTTTCTTTATATGCTCCGAAGAGAGAGAAGTTGCATCACTTTTAATATTTGTGGCTTTATCTTTGATATTTTCATCTAAAAGATTAACAGCAGGAGAAGTTAGGAAAGGGTTGCTTAAATGACGAAAATAAAGAAAAGGTAGCAAATTGCCCATAAGGTGACCTGCATTTATAGGAGACACTCCCAAGGAACCAACTTCAACACGCACGCTTTGTGAACTCAGCCTTCAAATTAATGATACGTTAGTGTTCCATCAATGGTCCAAATGCATCAAATTTCACTTGTAGACATCAGCAGATCAAACGAGAACTTTTTCATAAAAGCTTTATGGAAACGACAAAAGTCCACATAATTTAAATGCATCGTGCAGGAATTATTGATGCTACAACCCTTAAAAGATTGATTACAAGAGAAAGTTAGCGACTACCTGGGATCTTCTTTAGTAAGGACCGATAATGCTGCACTAGCGCAGGTAGCAGCAACTCTAGGTCCAACTGCAGAGGCCAAAAATGCAACCTAAAAAAAAGCCACAAAATATTTACGCAAGAGGATCAATGAAATCTGAAAAGTTACCCAACTAGCAGAACACAAAATAATAATCACTTTCACCAGCATTCCACATCCTGAGAGAATGGCATGAGCTCACTAGTGCAAACAAAACCTATGCATATCATCCTCGTTGGGAATATGACGTAGCTGCATTGGGCAGTTTCTAAATACCATGTGTTTGCTTAAAGTTATAGATGATGCGATTATAGGGTCTATAGGGCTATCATAATAAATCTTTATTGGCAATAACCTAAAATTTTAATTAATAAAGTTATTATTACTGCTAATTAAAATTCTAGCATTTGTATTAAGTAATTAGTATATTTAAATTTATTTCTCCTAATTATGATTAGATGCATCTATTGGCAATAGAGAAGTTATAAGAGTAGTTATTTTTGTGGGCCATCTATTCCCTTTTCTCTTCCAAAGTCACAGAAATCTGATAAGTTCCGCAAGCAAGCACAATGAAGCATATAGAGTGTCGGCACATTGTAGAAAACACTGTAGCTTGGTTCGCTATAGTGCCCGCGGCACTGTTGAGATCTTCGGCAAAAATATCCATTTTCAACAACTAACAAAATCGATGTGAATCCCAACCAACATCAAGGATCTCCACTTAAAGCTGCTTCTTTCATATATGGTTTTTTTAAAGGACTATGGAACTTAGTAACTGGAAATCCAAAGAAAATAGGGAAACAAAATGGGAAAAACCAACTCCCAACTCCATGGTTCTTCCTAAGAACTTTGTATTGGAGAAGAAGCTTTTGTTAGATATCCTTATTGTTGGCTAGGATTCATGTACTTGTTGATGGTTGTTGCTAGTGGAGATCTTTGCATTCTCATAGTTGATGTTGGGTATGTAGAGAGAGGGGTTTGGTTGAGTTTTTCATCTCTGTAGAATGTGGAGGCACAACTGCTAACAGAAAAGTTTTTAGTAATGACAATTGTTGTTGGATGGAGGGTAGTTGGGAGAAGAATTTTAACTAGAGAAGATGCACAGTCGTTGAATACCTTATAGAACTCATTATGAACTATAAATGTGAGGTTTCTTGTTGCATACTCTGATTTATCAAGAACCGATATAGTGTCATTTTCAATAAAAAAATAGATAAATTTAGAATAATGTATAAATATAATTTAGAGTAATTTTAGCCAAAGTAATTTGTGTTCATCATCTTTGCAACCTTTGATAAGACCTACTCAATTAATTTATAATTAAAAACACCTACACGTACTAGACCATATTTACCATAGATCTTCAATTTGTTATATAGTCTTCATGAATTATACACTTTGAGTCCATCTTCCAAGTAGCAAATAATCCAAATTCACATAGTGAATAAATCCTCATATTCTTGATTTCTAGAAAATAATTTATCCAAATGAAAATAGTTAGAGCTTGTTTGACATCACTTTTTTGTTTTTTCTAAATCATAATTGTAAGAAAATATATTTGTTTACTCATTTTTACTTTAAAAAATATAAAAAATAAAATTGAGATATTTTTATATCTAAAAATAGTTTTTTTTTCTTTTCCTTCTTAGACTTATTTGACCCTCGATTGGATTCATGTCTATGCTGTCCTTGCTTCACTCATTGCCCGTCATGTCCTTGCCGTTCTTGCCACCATGGAGGTTAATCATAATCCTGACTCCCAAACCCTCCCCTACCTCCTCCATAGCTTTGTTACCAATGCTACATAGCCATGGGTCACCTACTTTCACCCTTCTCCATGTTGGCTTCATTCTTTACATCCTGAGCACTTCTTTGGGAAGATGCTGCACCATATGACTGAATCACAGCGATACCTTACAGGCAGAATGCATCATGGTGACGATGTTGGTGATGGTGGCGAAGCAGACCATGGTGTTGGTTGAGATGAGCTATGGAGGGTTTGTCTATTGTTGAATTGCAGTGATGTTTTGGGCGAAAGTGGAGAGGGTTGTATTGATCTATGTTGGGGTGTGTTTGAATAAGAAGGATCTTAGGGAAGGAATGTTTGTTAGGGATGGTTTGACGAAGGAGACAAGTATTTTGTTGCTAAAGGCAGAGATACTGGTAGCTTATCCGACTCTAGCATAGTTGGACACCCAATGTTTCTGATGTACATTTTGTTGGATTTTATACATGTAAGTTATGTGAGACCCTAGTATGTTCTTTTATAATTTGAGTGCAACCAAGTTTGATTAGGTTGGGATTTTTACTTTTAGTTTCTATAAGCACACCAAACATGATTTTATTTTATGTTGTTGGAGTATCAAAAATTTTTAAAAAAATAAACTTAAAAAATCTGATCCCTAAAAATATTTTAGTAAATTATTTGACATCACATAAGATTTTTTATCATCAACTAATTGGTAAGTCACACGAGTCATATTGGCTCATGAGTTCAACATGACTTGCTTTTCTTTTTAAAAATTTTAAACTAAAGAAAATTGTTTCAAATGTTGACAAGTGAGATATTGCTTATGTTAAATTAGCGACGTTATAGAAAGTTTACCATTTCTATTTGTTTTGTGTTTGTTCGTGCTAGCTGGGATGCTCACACTTGTATGATGTTCTAGTTTTCCACGATCATGTGATGAGATTTTTTTTTTTATTGTTTGACTATGTCCAAAAACCTAAGTGAATGATTATATAGTGTTCTTCATATATTAATACATGCATATAATCTTATGTATTGTATCCTATCATTCAAGTCTTGGCGTGCCCCCTTATTCTATGGTAAGGTAGTCCCATGCTCCATTTTGTGTCCATGCATCACAGAATTTGATTCGGGTTCAAAGCAGTTGGTTTTCAGTTCCTTGAAGACCTGAATTAATCTAGTAATGAGGGATAGTCATCAGCAATTTCGTTTTAAAAATTTGCTGAATTTAATGTATTTCTCGTATTTTCCCTGTGTCCAATATAGTGACCATGTTTCATAGAATCTGAGTTCAGTTCATAACTACTTGTTGAGGAAGTTTAGCCTACATATATGGCCTTTTCATTAGCAGTTTCTTGCACCCTTTGAATTAGTAGCTAGTGGTCTATATTGCTCTGGGATTTGTAAGTGGGATTACGGTAGGATTTTGGCAGTTAATTATTCCTGGAAAAATTTCCACCTTTATTTGTCCCAACCATGTGTGGTGGTCCAAAATTTTGGAAAAACATCTCAATTTTTTTTTGACAACTTTCCAGACCATTGGGCAGATTTTTCGCATGCATTGTCATCTTAAAAATTATATTTGAGAATCTTCTTGTCTTCTACCTTCAACATGCGGTTTGAATACTGGGGAGGAAGGTTGCTCCCCACTCACATTTAAAGTGTGCTCAAGTAAATTCTTAGATTCAGCCTCTAATCCCTTTCTTCAACCTGCTATCACTCAGGTTTGATCTTTCACTGCATATCGAGGGCCCATTCTATTTCCATCAAAATTCCATATTCTCCATTGGTGCTTAGTGTAACACCCCACAGTACCACTTAACAGTATTGTGGAGGGTTACAATCATAAACATAACATTTTATCAATATCTTCATAAAATATCCACAATCTTAATTTTAATATATAAACGGAAGCATCTAATAAAGATCCAAATACATCAAAACAAATACTTCAGAGTACAAAGCCACTAAAGAAATCCAAACTAATACATTACTGAACTGTCTACATACCTCAATGTAGACTTACAAACATAAACTAACTTTAACATATAAAGTTGAAATACTTGCAACTTAGTCTACATCGACCATTTCTTTTCTTTTCTTGTAACAACAGCCAGTATAAAATAGTCGGTGAGCTATGAGGCTCAATAAGTTTTGCAATTATCAATAACAGTTAATTTGCATGATTATAAAATTTCACAACAGTGAAAACATAAATAAAAATTAAACAAGTTGAGAAAACATTATAAAATCTCATTTTGCATTAACCTTTACTTACTCTAAAATATATACTGAATATCAATTTAGTCATTAAAAAATTTGGCTATCTTTCATAAAAAACTATTCAATGAAGCCCAAGTAAACCTGACATTATCGTCATTGAATTACATAGAAGTCTATTTTGTCTCTTCGGGGGTCTCTTTTGCCCCACCTGCTATGCATGTATCATATTCTCTACGACCTCTTTTGCTCCCCTTACAATGTAGTCTCATGCATGAGAACCTTTTTATCCCATATACACTTGTAAGTTATACATCATGTATAGTCAAACATTACTTTAAATTAATATTCATTATAATTCTCATATTCAGAGTTCTTATTTTTCACATTCTTTCATAATTCTATCTTTATTATAATCTAATTTAATTCATTCAAATTCACAAGTGATATACATTAATACTTGACTGTCATATGTATGAAATATATTAATACTTGACTGTCATATGTATGAAATAAAATCATATGCTTGACAACTATCTTTCTAAATTGTCATTAAAATCAATATATGTCCACGATGATACAATATACTCTTTTAATTCAAACCTTGCATTACTTACCTACTTGCCGAGATTCTCCTCTAATTCTTTACTTCGTTCTCTTCTATGATTGTAAGTCACTTCGAAACTCTCTCTGTACATGACTAAATAGATCTAGGACACCATAAGGTACAACATCTTTAAGAACTTGTACTACTAATTGGAAATCCATACAACAACTATGCATATTACCAAAATAGCTTACCCTGACTTCTTCTCACTTAAATTTTCTTCTTCCTTTCCGTTATTCTTTTCTTCTACTCTTTCTTTCCACTGCACCAAGACACCACACTAATTCATTGATCCTTCAACTAGTTTGTACACTCACATCAAACTAATTCATTACAAGAATCTGATTAATTAACTTCCAATATTGATAACAGTTTTCAAATAAAATTCCATTCAATTATACTGATAATCCCACTGTGTCGTAATTTCTCTTCTAAGCAGTGCCGAATTCCCTCAGCCAAACACTGCAACAGTCCTGCATGCATTGAATCGCCTATATGCAAAATTCTACTATGTCATTATTCACATCTTTGAAGATTGACGAGAAACAACCATTGATAGAACTTAAAATGTGAAGAAGCCATAGTAAATCTCTTGACAAAAGGCTGTTCCAATTGCTGATCTTTTCACTTTGATGAATTTTTTATTTATCTATTTTCTTCTAAATATTGTTTTATTGGCTTCCCCCGGTTCTTGATTTTAATCAAATTTGATACAACTAAAATTTCAATTGTGACATTAAAATTCAATTGCGACATTAAAATTAAAATTCAATTGCTAACAAATTTTGTATGGTTCAAATTTCTACTTGATTTTTTTGGAATTATTCGTTCATTATATTATTATTTAATTCGAAGTTTTGCATTTCATGGTTTGCAATTAAATTAAGTATATTTTGTATATTTTGCAGTCTTTAATCCGGCATCTGCTAATTGTAATTATCTTTAGAGTAATCTACATTTATTACATCATCTCAGTTGCACTAGAAACTCTATTATTAACTCATGCATCAACTATTATCATGATAATAACAACCACATCATCTACATGGAGCATGTTTTGCTTTGGCAAAATACAGCTTAAAAGAATGAGCAGAATAAGAAAGATCAGCATAATTACTCACCAGGGACATGACAGGGTTCTGCGAGCTAGCAAAGGGAAATTGATCTTCTGAATTAAGCTCTTGAAAACAAACCAAAAAAACGTTAGGGATACAAAAGAAAAAAAATTGCCGGTCCAAAAAGATAATTTTTCAAGGAACAGCTGAGGAAATATAAGCACCTGAAGTTTCGGTGTTATTACTGGGATTTGAACAGGAGAATCCACCATTTTGTACCTCCAAGGAAACAGGTGAAATTTCCACTTGTGGTACTTCAATATTTTCAAGCAAGTCAGCCTCCATTGGAAGACGAAGAAAATGAAGAATGCATTGTGCTTTTGACTTAGTAATGACATGCTCAGCAATTTCATTCCAATTGTCATTAAATTTCTCTACGGCCTCAAGCAGCAACAAAGTTTCCTGATCTGTCCAAATATCCCCATCTACATCAGTCAAATCTTTCTTGGAGTTCATTCTCACAAAATCTAAGCTTGAGTGACCAGTGATAAATTTTGCATCATTAAAACATTCTGAGCATAGGATTGTCTCAACCTGCAATCATTTTTTTGACATATAACAAGCAAGCAAAATGTGACCATAGCAGACCAACAGAGAAGCAAATAGAATAACTAATTGATCATAATAAATCATCAATCATGTCATGCCCATATTGTTAGCATAAAAAATATAATTTAGGGAAGTACTCCACAATTAATAAGTGGTGTATATTTATTTGGCTGTACCTTAAATCCTCTCTCTATTATAAATAGAGGTCCTCTAGCAAAATAATACATATGAGTTTTTGCTCTGTCACAAAATAAGAGCCTGAAGAATTATATTGAAATTGAATTTACTTACAACAAAACGGGCATCTATCTCAAAGGAATATATTATTGATCTTCTTTAAGAGCTTGGCCTCCTAGGTTGCAAATCATTAATACTGCTACTGATACTCAAACTCCTAACAATGATAACCTCTTTTATAATCAACCTCAATATCAAAGGTTAAACGATTTGACTATCACTATGCATGATATTTCACTCATTATAGGAATTGTGAACTAGCATAAGAAAACTCTAAAATAACATTGAAAAGTTGTTTTGTATATTCTCAAGTAAATCAAAAAGTCTAATGGAAAAGAGTATGTACTGAAACTAAGCAATTGGTTATATTTGTTAGGAGTAATTTTTCCACCTCAAAAAGCATAACACCAAAATAATTTTTTCTTCAATGGCTACTCTAGCATCGACACCCTTCACAAAAATCCTAGGCATTATATATATACACTAGCATACCCCATCCCTCCCTCCCAACAGGGCCTAAACCAGCCGCTCATTTAAGGATGAGCAAACATAGCATAAAAATAAATTAATATTTAAAAAAATCTAAATTTCTATTGGTTTTGGTTTAGGGTTGAATGGATAATAATATAGACAAAATGCAGCATCTTTTTATACATAATATCCAACCATTTGGGATATTCTTCGAAAAAATTTTAATTAAATCTCTGAGCAACATTTCTAATGATTGTTTAAGGAAAATTATGATTTTTTGGCTGATGGGACCCTTTCACCAAATATGTTCTTCTAATTTTATCTTTCTCAATAACATCATAACTCCAAATTGAAGGTCAAAGCCGAAAGTCAATCGAAAGAGTATCAATATCAATATCTACACATTTTTTTCTTCAAATATCAATCCATTAATCAAAATTAAAACACAGAAAATCTATTTATTTAGCCAAAAATATGATGTAGAACGAAGGGGGTAATAAAAAAAATTAAATATCTGAAATTCAATTTCAGATTTCCCTTAATTAAGGGATTTGAATTTGAAATTCAAATAAGATGGAGGGAAGGATAAATAGGTGATTAATTATTCCCCTAATTGGATTCCTTAATAAGGAAAGAAATAATTAAAATTAGGGAGAGATGGGGCCGACCATATGGGGAGAGAGGAGAAATGTCCACATACAATGTATGTGGACCATAGCATTAAATGTGATGGGGTAATTAAATCTGAAATTAATTTCAGATTTGAGAGATTTGAGGGATTTCCTAAATGAGAGTTGGTTTAATTAGAAAGCTTTTGGAATTCAAATTATTTTGAATTTGAATTCAAATTTCTTTCCAAATAACAAGAGGCTAAATAAGGAAATAACTAATGGGGATTTAATTTGAGATCTAATGAGAAGTGAGGGAGGCCGACGGTTAAGGAAGGTTATAATAGGTGTAATTAATGGGGAGAGGGGAATTGGGAGGGAATTTAAAACTTCCTAAATCATGATTCTAAATTAGGAAAAGGGTAATTCAATTAAATATAATTTAAAATCAAATTAGACTTAAATTTAGGAACTTTTCTAATTTAGCTTAGTTAATTTTAGGAAAGTATTTGAAATTCAAATTTGAATTTCAAATATATTTAATTCTTACCCCAAATTAGGTAGGCTAATTTTGTTTGGTATTAATGATGATTGAAATCATCATTAAGAGGAAAAAATGGATGGGGTGGCCGGCGGCTAGGAGGATGGGAGGAGATGGGGTGGCCGACTAGGAGGTGGTGGCGGAGTGGTTTATGGCGGCGGTTGATATGGATAAATTGGGGGAGGCTTGTAGCTTTGGAGGGGTTTGTGGGAGAATCGGCAGGTGGCAAGTGGGGGATTTTGGCTGGATTTTCAGGGAGGAGGAGAAAAAGATTTAGGGAAAGAAAGATACAACCATGAGCCAGGACACATCCTGCAGCTGACGGGTAATATGTTGCCCTTCTTCAAGAGACTTCAAGCCACGAGCCCGGACCCATCATACGGCTGGGGGAAACTCTGATTCCCTTCCATATAAATCTCACCCAAGTTCTCTCCAAAGAACACAAGTGCAAACAAAATTTTATTAATAATCCATCATCCCTAATACAAGAGAAGGGGCCTCTATATATAGGTCTCAAAAGAAACTAAAAGACATATTTGCCCCTTGGGCTTACATAAGACAAGACTCTTAAATAAAGGGATAAAAAGGAAAAATTGCAAAATTAAATCAAAATACAATTAATAAACTAAAATAAAATGGAGTGATCCCGACTGTCGATCTTCGACTCTTCCTATAAATATCTTCCTTCGGATATCCGCATCAACATAGCTAAAAATCTATCAATTTTATATTGCATACCTTATTAAATTTGATTTTTTATCTCTCACGCTTAAGATAAACTACATTACCACAAATAGTAATCAACCCAAACAAATACTAAAACCAGAATCATTTTGTTTGAAAAGATGAAATGGTTTGTGATTTAACACAACTGATATTGTCTTATTTTTAAATTCAATTGATATAAAAAACTATTTCCTATCAGATTATACAACATCTATTAAAATTCATTCGAATTTACAACTCAGTTAGAATTAAACTAAAAAGTCAGTTTATCAGAATTATAAAGTTAAATATTTTTTTTTCCTATCAGACTATTAGTTAGCTCTAAAAGTAAGAATTAAACTAAATTTTAAATGTTTCGCATTCTTTGGAACAAAGCTTGAACTTATTTCAAGAAAAATGCAATTATATAAGAAAACAAAACATCTCTGAAAAATAATATAGAACGGAATGTGGATAGTAGGGAAACAACTTTCTCGGATCTTTTAAAAAGAAGAAAATGGAGAAATACACAAATATTGTAAAAATCTAATAGATAAAAATCTGAATTACCCAAAATAAATTCAATAGCAAAATTTTCTGTCAATACATTTATTTATTTAAAGATTAGATGAGGTGGCATGTGAGGAGGACGAGGCACCTTTTGCAGGCAGCGGTGTCCTACATGGAGGAGGCGGAGTTGTGCAATTATAAGGAGGCCACGACATTTGCAATGGGTGGTGTCATGCAAGGAGGAAAAGAATTTATGGATTTTTCCAACACATCAATTTCAATTCATATTGTAGGAAATAAAACAATTGAATGAGAGAAAAACATTTTGAGATTATTTAAAAAAGATTGAGGCTTCCAAGGGAGAGAAATAAGAACATAAGCTGTGAGGAGGACATGATTTATCCGGTGAGATATTCAAAGATTAAAATAACGAGAATTAAATTTAATGATTCAATGAAAATTCATATCATATGAGTTAAGTGGGCTAACTTTGATGACCTTGGTAGGAAGTGATGATTCATTATACTAAAAAATTGGTTGGCCCAACCTTTATCAAGAAAAGATGAATGAAAAAAAAAATCCTAACTTTTGATAATGGGAAGTTTGTTAGCCCAACCTTTATCAGGATAATTAAAAAATTTCCTAACCCATGATACTAGAGAGTTGGTTAACTCAACCATTAAGGGGAAACTAACACACAAGAGTTGAAGCCTATAAGCATGATATGACATTTCTAAAGTAATGACTATTAAAATCAAATAAAATGATGAAAATAAGGAATTCATGTCATGTTCAGGTTCAATGAATAGCTATACTAGTTATTTCTAGTTTGATTTTTCATATAGTAATTCATAACTCCTGTACTGAATTAACATCTACTGCATTGAGCTCATTATGCATATTTTAATGTGAATTTTTCTTATAGCTCATACAATCAGCAAAGCATTTTGTCCTTTCCTTATAATTTGACTTTATGTTTAAATCATTTATCTCGCTGAACTTATAGCTCATTGGATGCTATATTTCTAGAAAAAAAAGGGCACGAGGAATAAGGAACATGTGATATATTTTGCTCCATAAATCAATGTTTTTAGATGTATAAATTCAAAAATTATATAGATGATAATAATATAAATTAAAAATATTGGGCATATTAAAATTTATTTTGAAAGTTTTATTAGAAGCTCTGTAATTAACTCGATGATTTGATTATGTGCACTTCCATTTCAATCTTCATTACAATTATTAAATGTCAATTATATATTTAGACGATCAAGCCAAAGTATTTTCATTCATTCGATCTTAACAAGTTAAATCAGGATCAATGTGATCAGAATTATGTTTGTCCATATTGTCCACTTCTATTATGCTCATACTTGCCTAGAAGAGGGTGAAAATGGGGCATGAAAAAAAATATGGCACATGATACAAAGCCATATCTAATAATAAGGTTGATTACAGAGTTATGATCAATTAAACATGTGAAATTATGCGAGAAAAGACTCCTTTTACGTGGCATTTGATTTTCCTAATACAAGTTAGATTTTGCACTATAACAATAAGCTACCATCTAAATGATCACAACCCTATGTTCCTTGAAAAAACCAAGCATATTAATGATGATTATTAAATCATGCAAGATGTTTTTTTAAGAAGATTGTAACTTTTTTACAGTTTAAAAGTAGCAGGCAAATGCCGGTAATTCAGAATAAGTTGATTATACTTTTACAAAAACATTGGGTCATCTACCTTTCTCTCAATTATGTAACAAATTGAAGCGAACTAATATCTATGTTACAATTCAAAGAGATAAAATTTCAAATTTCGCTCAATACAATTGTTAGATGTTAATTATTTGAGTGCTTCACAATTCTACAAGACAACTTCTAGGTGACAATTCTCCTTGTTCCGGG